AGAGGGATATCAGACAAGGGAGGCATAGGTAGTTGTCAATATTGCTTACCCTTTCGTTGTCCTTTTCGAAAGGATTGGCGTTAGCGAGGCAGGGTTTGAGGTCAGTACGATGCCATCAAAGGTTGAGGGGCAAGTAGAGACCTGTCAGCTTGCTGAGGGCGATATTGCCTATAAGGTTGGAACCTTTGATTTTGATATTGTTTAGGATGATACTGGCCCTAATGGTAGAAGGGCCGTTGATAGGTGGAAGACGGCTGGACAGAATAACAGCGTGCAGTCTTACGCTTCTTATGGAAGTCTTCCATGGTGTCATAAGTTGTGGAGTTGAACAGGCCGGCACCGTCAAAAGGCAAATCCTCAATTCTCGACTTGGTGTCATCAGATTGTGGAGGATTTAAGCCAGGCATGGCGTCGAATAGAAATAGAGGTGACCAGAGTTTTAGAAGCGGCCTCAGTGGAGTGTCGCGCTGCAATTCTCTGAAGGCTTTGGCCCATCGGATTACCCTTCATCACCAGGCTCCCCTGCATCTTCGGAGGCACAACAGTCCTCCCATGAGCCTGACCTTCCCCCTCCTATCCCAGATATGAGGGGCAGCCACGCTTCATCCTCCTCAGATGATGGCGAGGGAAATAGCCTGTGAATGGATGTTAATGAGACTGGATCTCATGGGTTCAGGAGATGATTCGATGAAAGGAAGGACTTGATTCCAAAGATGATGCTAAAAAGCACCCATAGTTGCTTGACAACTGACGCTTCTAAGTAAGAAGCCTTGGAGAGAGTAAATTCGTTTGGCCATCGTGTCGACATTTCTACCGTCCTTATTGGCTAGGGTAGGTTTGGACTTAGCCTGGGTTCGAGCCTGACTAGATTCGACGATGATAGAATCAGGCACTGGATGTTTGTTGAGAAATTCGGCCTCGACACCTTGGGTCCTGTAGAGGCCATCGGTACGGCGAGAGATCTGCATGATTGAAGGGTTTTTTCCCCAAGTGTCCTTGGTAAGTTGAAGGATAGACTTGTTAAAGGGGACACTCAAAGGAACAGGGCGCTCCTGATTAATGTCATCAAACACCGGGTCGGCATCAGCGGACGGGGGTTGTTCAGTGTTGAGATTTAGGGCTTGTGCCATCTGAAAGATGAGGGTTGAATAGGAGAAGTCATCTGAGGAGGATGAAGCGTGGCTGCCCCTCATATCTGGGATAGGAGGGGGAAGGTCAGGCTCATGGGAGGACTGTTGTGCCTCCGAAGATGCAGGGGAGCCTGGAGATGAAGGGTAATCCGATGGGCCAAAGCCTTCAGAGAATTGCAGCGCGACACTCCACTGAGGCCGCTTCTAAAACTCTGGTCACCTCTATTTCAATTCGACACCATGCCTGGCTTAAATCCTCCACAATCTCTGATGA